TCACTTTTTAATTTCCTGTGCTTTGCATACTGCCTCTGGCTATCCACATCTTGGAGGGCTGATATGAATATCGTTTCCAGCCCTCTCCATGGGAGATCTTCAGCCTCAGTACTGTCCACTCCTGGAGAAAAGGGGTCTTGGATCCCGACTGGGCCTTCATGGGCACCTACCTTGTGTCATGCCTGGAACCCTGGGGGGCAAGGATGAGCCTCCCCTTTGTGCAGATGGGGAAACGATTGATCGTCTCAAACTGTGCACCAGTTCGGTGCAGCTGCAGAGGCAGGCGCGGTTGTGTGGGGCTGGCGTGCCCTCTAGCGGCCACCGTGCGCCACACTCCGCCCCGCGGCCAGAGCTGCCCAAGGTCCGACTGGCAGCCGTCGACTGGCAGGAAAGTCCCTTCTTGGAGCCATCCGCGGTCCAGCGTGCTGCTGCCCCATCTCACCCGGGCTGACAACAGTCTCTCCCAGGCTCTCTCCTCTTATGGTTTCCCAGAGACCCCACAGCGGCTGCGCGCCCCGCCCCGATTGCCATGGAGACCGCTTATACACAGTTTCCCCCTTCCCCTCCACTTTGTCCTAAGTAGGGCAGGCAGGCCGCCGCGGCGGGCGGCCACGGCCCCATGAACAGCAGGGCCCCAGGGACGCTGGCCGTGGAGAGTGAAATTCTTCGGCCAGCACCGCGGGGAGGTGAGGCCCTGTAGATCTCTGCCCAGATCTTAGGCTTCTTGGCTTTAGAGTGGTTTCTGGTTCTGTGTAGTGCGAACCCGAGTGTTCTCTGGGCTCCAGTTGCAGAATGGGCTCTAGAATTCTAAGCACTGGTTCCACAGGGGGCTCAAACTCCTGGCTGATTCCAATGCTCTTTGGACTCTGGCTTAAGAGGGAACTCGGGGCTTAGAGTAGATTTTGAACTAGTTCTGGGCTTCAGCTCTAGAATGGGCTCTTGGCTTCCAGAGAAGGCTCCAGCCTCTGGCTTCAGTGAGGGCTCGCTCTGAGCTTCAGGTTCTGGTCTTTTTTTTTTTTTTAATTTTTGGCTGTGTCCGGTCTTCGTTGTTGCGCACGGGTTTTCTTTAGTTGCGTACAGCGGGTACTACTCTTTGTTGCAATGTGCAGGTTTCTCATTGTAGTGGCTTCTCTTGTGGAGCACGGGCTCTAGGCATGCAGGCTTCAGTAGCTGTGGCACGCGGGCTCAGTAGTTATGGCTCGCGGGCTCTAGAGCGCACGCTCTGTAGTTGTGGTGCACGGTCTTAGTTGCTCCGTGGCATGTGGGCTCTTCCCATACCAGGGCTCGAACCCATGTGCCCTGCATTGACAGGAGGATTCTTAACCACTGTGCCACCAGGGAAGCCCCAGGCTCTGGTCTTACAGGACAGCAGAGAGGGCTCCAAGCTCTTGGCTCCCCTGCAGGGTGGTTCCTGAGTTCTGGTTGTTGAGAGAGGCCTTAAGTCCAAGCTCCAACCCCGCTCCTGGGGCGGTATTTATGGCTGGCCCAGGAGTCTGGGGTTAGGGATGAGCAGAAAGGTGTTTCTTGCCCCAGGATAGAACTTTTGTGCTCTCCTTGCAGGTCAACCCTTCCGCCTTCTCTCCCGATGGCCAGAAGCTGCTCACAGCCTCTGAGGACGGCTGTGTATATGGATGGGAGACCCAGAGTGGGCGGCTGCTGTGGAGACACACAGGTGGGGCTCTTCACCCCAGATGGGAAGACTGAGGCCTATGGCCCTGTTGTGGCTTTCTACAGAGCCTACCACAATGACCTCTGACATCTGAGCTGAGCATCCATGCAAGACAGCCCAGGCAGGGCAGGGCAGGGGCGGGAGGGCAAGGAGACAGGACCTGGTCCCTGGGGTCCTGAGCCTCTGATTCTAACAGACCTGGACTCAAATCCTACCACTTAAAAAAAAAAAAAACTTAAAAAATCTACATAATACCCTATTAACCATTTTAAAGTGTACAGTTCAGTAAAGCACCTTCACACTGTTGTGCACCTAGCTTCCAGAAGTCTCTTCGTATCTTGCAAAACTGAAACTCGATACCCATTAAACTCCCCATTCCTCCTTTTTCCCAGCCCCTGACAATCACTGTCCTGCCTTCTGTCTCCATTTTGACTAAGTACAATACCTGGTATAAGTGGAATCATACACTATTTCTTTTGGTGGCTGATTTCACTTAGCATAATGTCCTTAAGTTTCATCTATGTTCACCCACTTTTTTGACTGTGATTGAACTCAAATCATGTCACCTTCTCTGCACCTATTTCCTCTTCAGAATGGGGATAATAGTTGTTACCCTATAGGATGAGATAACGCAAGCAAAGTGCCTGGCACCCAGTAAGAACTCAGTAGACGTAACTTATGATTATTAAGACAAGAAAAAACAAATCTGGTAATTATAGGGCAGATTGATTCATGTTGTAATAGGGAAAGTCCAGGGGCTGGGGAGCTCTAAGAGGGTAATGAACCTACGCTGGGCTGTCAAGGAGTTTCTGGGAGGTGCTTGCATTTGATTTGGGTATTGACTTCCAAATAGGCAAACTGAGTTGGGCATTCCAGACCAAGGCATGGAAGCCCAGGAATTTTCCAGGTGGCTGGAGGGTGAGGGTTAGAAGGAAGTGAGGAGAGAGGCGGTAGGCAATGAGACTGAAGAAATTAGCAGGGATTGGACTGCAAGGGCCAGAGGTGGAGCGCAGTGCCCCGTTCCTTGACCACGGCCGCCCACCCAGGCCCCGTGAGGTTCTGCCGCTTCTCCCCCGATGGCTGCCTCTTTGCCGGCACCTCCTGTGACTGCGCCATCCGCCTGTGGGATGTAGCAGAAGCCAAGCGTCTGCAGGTCCTACAGGGTGAGTGGGCTGGGTGCCAAGCAGCCAGGCCTGGGTTCCCTTTCGGACCCTGCTGTGTCCTGTGCCACCTCGCCCCTGCCGCGCTGCCTGGTCGGTGCCTGCAGGTCACCGGCGGAGTGTGGAGACCATCAGCTTCAGCCCTGACTCAAAGCAACAGGCATCAGGCGGCTGGGACAAGGTGATGCTCTGGGAGGTGCAGGTAGGTGTAGGGGCAGCCAGTGAGGCCTGGGATCCAGGGATGCACACCGTCCACAGTGGCCACACTTTCCAACTGGGAAAGGTTGTTCGTCTTCCCCACACCTGGCATCCCATTCCCTTGCATCTGGCTGCAGCTACCTCCCCAGTTCCCCTCCCCCCACTCTCATGCCTCAAGACCTCTGCCATGAGATTCCCCCTGCCTGTACTACCCTCCTCTCTTGCCAAGGCCCTGGAAGCCTCCCCTAACCCCTATGCTGCATCACACTACCCAGGCAGCCCCACAAGGAGGACCTGGGTCTGACCCACCTGAGGCAGAGAACCTGGCACGCAGCCTCTGGGCTCTTTCCTCCAGTCAGGCCAGGTGCTGCGCCACTTCGTGGGACACTGAGACTGTCCCAAGCAATGACTTCGTACCCAGCTCAGACTGCTTGGTGAGCCACACCTCTGCCAGGGCCCCACCTCAGTGGCCTAACAGTGGTTAGAATTCTACACCTTGACAGTGACTTAGCTCTTCTGAGCCTGTCCCCTCCTCTGTAAGATGGGGATTCAGCAGGGCTTGGTGGGATGGTGCCTGCTTTCTGTGAGCCTAGCCAGTCGAGGAACCGGGAGGCGCCATGCTTATGGCAGCTGTCTGCAGGCCACTGGCTCTTGGGATTCCACCATCTGCATGTGGGACTGCATGTGGGACCTTCGGGCGGGGACTCCAGTGATCTTCCACCAGGAGCTGGAGGGCCACAGTGGCAACATCAGCTGCCTGTGCTACTCAGCATCTGGCCTATTGGTGGGCTGGGCTGCCTAGGTTCCAGGGTGGCCCCTTGCTGACTACAACTCTTTTGAGGGTCACAGGCCATTTTGGGGGCAGAGTATGCAGGCCCCAAACCTCTATGCTTAGAGCTGTCTGCTGTCCAGGAGTCCGGCTCCTGGGACAGGACTATCCACATCTGGAAGCCCACCTGTCCAGCTCAAGGGCCACATCACCTGGGTGAAGAGCAGCGTTCTCCCCTAATGGGCTGCAGGTGGCCAGCACTGGCTACTCTCACATGGTAACCCCACCCCATCAGGCCTTCCTTCCTGCAAACTCCTACCCCACATCCTCCCTACCGGAGCCCTCAGCACCCCATGTCCGGAAATGTCCACATCCCTATCTGCCCTAAATAGGCTACCAAGGGCAGGACCCAGGTGCCAACCACTTCCTTACCAAATGCCTGGCACTAAGGTCTGCACGGGCCCAAATGTTAGTGGCACTGACATTTCTGACTCAGGTTCAGGGGAAAGGAAAGTATTGCACTGAATTTCTCCATCAGCTATTATGTAGCCCTTGTTAAACACACCTCACAGACAACAAAACCCAGATCAAGAAGTTAACATGTTGGCTAAGACTCACCCCAGGGTGATTTTGTCAAAGATGCCAGACTTGCCTATGAGACTTGCCTACCCCCCAGCTTGTTTTGATTTCCAGGTCAAAGTCTGGGACTAGAATACAGGAAAGTGCATTGAGACCCTGAAGGTAAGGTCTGTGGCTACAGCAAACAAGGGTGCAGAGGAAGGCCTGCTAGGGGAGGCCCGCACCCACAGAGCCCCATACCATGCTTTTGGCAGGGAGTCCTGGATGTGGCCCACGCCTGTGCCTTTACCCCAGATGGGAAACTCTTAGTGTCTGGAGCTGCTGCTTAGGCAAAATTCCAGGTTCACTGCAAATCACCCAGAGCTGCTCAAACAGAACATCACTACCTATGGCTCTCAAGACCTTCCACCCCTGCTTCTCCCTGCCCAGGGGGCACAGGACCAAAGTAACCATAAAAGAGTGCCCAATAGGCCCCTGTGGCCAGGGCTGCCATGGCCCCCCACCAGGGCCACCAACAGCAGGCCAGCCTGCTGGGATCCATCAGACACCCAGTAACCATAACCAGGGCCGCACCAGCCCATCTCTCCGGCACTTAGTAGAAACCCCTATAAACACAAAGCAATACCAGCCAGTTTGTTTGTTTTATTGACACCTGGATGCTCAGGCCTTGACCGCGTACTTCCGGAGTGGGTACAGCCGCTCCTTCCGCTGCTGCTTCTTGGTCTTCAGGTTCTCTTCATGTTTGTTGAGCCGGCGGCGCATGGCACGCGTTTTCTTGGGCCGCAGATCCAGGGGCTTGTACTTCTTGCCCTGGGTGAGGGGGAGCAGGGGAACATGAGGACCAGGGTTTGGGAGCTACTGCGATAGCTAAGGAAGCCACAGAGTCGGAACTGAGATGCTGGGATGTGCCTGGGGAGATGCAAGCGTGAGGAGCTGTATGACACCCAGCCCAGGAGGGGACTGGAGACTGAAGTGTTGCCAGGCCATACTTTGCTTCCTACCTCTTCAATTCCCCCAAGTTCAAGGTTGGGAAGGACTGTCCTCATTTTCTTTAAGTATATTGATTTGCTGGGCTAGGAAGTAATTTTGCCCAAATCTCAGTGAAGCTGTAGTGGAACTTGGGGCGCACACCCAAGTCAACCCACTCCCTACTCGGTGCTCTTTCTACCAGATTGCCAGCCGTGGAGTCAACGTCACACCCAACCCAGCAAGGGATGTCTGGTACCCACCAAGTCCTGGGGGCATTTCCTGTTATCTTGGCTTAAATTATGTGTGTGTGTACGGGAGGGTGAGATGTGCAGCTTAAGCTGGTGCTCAATTTATCTGAAGGACCTGCCAGGTACCTGTGGTGACATTGCCACCGAACACATGCATCTCAGAGGGAAGAGCTGGCTCGGCTGAGACCATCCTGCTAAGAGGGGCCAAGCCCCCCTTCCTGACTTGGCTCCTGCTCTCAGACCTTTCTCAGGGCATTGTCTCTCCATCTCTGCTCCCACTCATTCCCGACCCACTTCCTCCTCAGTGAGGAGTCTAGGCTAAGGCAGCTCTCATGGTCCCCTTTGTTCTGCAAAGGTCCCCTAGGGCCTCTTCAGTTTGAGGCCCTGTGCTGGGTGCTGGCTTAGCTACAAATGAGACCTGCTCCCTGCTCAAGGAGCTCCCAGCGCAGCAGAAAATGGAAAACAAGTGGTGCATCAGTGTGGAGGAGGAAAGAGATTAAGGAAGGTTTCACCTAAATGACTGACAACAGCCTTGAAAGCAACGGGCACGTCAACTGCAAGAGAAACCAGAGTGGGTACTAAAGCCCTGAAAAGTGACAGCTCAGGCTGGGAGCTGCCAACAGCCTGGAGGGGTAGGCACATGGCAGGCGTATGTGAGCTAAGCGGGGTTCAGGTCATTAACAGCCTCAGTGCAGAAAACTGCAGGGAAAAAGCTAAGCAGGAGATGAGGGCAAGCTCTGGGGGGGACCTGGAAGCATGAATGTCTGTCCACCCACATCCCTCATATCAGCTGGTACAGGTCAGGGCTTCATCTGTTTCCAATTTACCAAGCACCTTAGAGCTCTGCTGTCCAAGAATGGCCACTAGCCACACACACTGTTCACATCCTTCAGTCACTGTGGCCACATAAGCGCTTAATAGGCACGCATGGCCAGAGGTTACTGTATCGAACATCAACTTCTCTCATATAGAGACCTTACCTCTATCTCCAGGAGTCCTGCCTGGCTGTTTGGAGGAGTGTACTCACTGGATGGTCATGAAGGCAATTTTTCCAGGCCACAACTCTACACGGTCCCCTCAGAGCCTGATGAAAGCTCCAGACCCAATTCTCAGAAATACATTCCCCCACACAAATGCACACACGTCCAGGAGTGGCAGCAACCCTCCCCCCACATGCTGTTGTCCCCTGGGCAGCTAGCCCCGGCACACTGTGATGCCTTTTTTGATGTGTCAAACCCTCCAGTCATTCAAACACTAATTTGGGTATTGATATGAAGCCATTCTGCAGATGCTATCAAAGCCCCTAATCAGTCTGCTTTAATTGAGTAACCTGGGTGGGCCTGATCACAGTTGAAAGGCCTTAAAGGCAGGGCTCTGACTTTCCCCAAGAAATCCACCTGAGGGCAGCAGCTTCAACCAAACCTTGAGCTCTAGCTTGCTTACAGATCCTCTCTTCCCAACAAGTATGCCCTCCACCATCAAACAAGCCATTTCCTTGTAATAAACCAAATGTGTGCATACACAGTATATAAAATCTCCTACTGGTTCCACTTCACAGCTTGAACCCTGACAACACTAGTTTTAGGCGCAAGACCAAAAAATGATTATAAAAATTCTAGGCTGAGTGAGGGGCAGGCACCTGTGGAAAATCTCCAGGAAGCACTCACTCCACCCTTACCAAGATGGTTTGGAACCTAGGCCCAATCCATTTACTGTAGGTGGCGCTGGGCAACTTAACCTCTCTAAGCGTTGAGGTCATCATTTGAAAAATGAGGATACCAGATGCTTGGCAGTGACTGACAGTGCTAGCAAGACCATTAAAACAAGACTGCCCAAACTCAGCTGGTGAGGTTTTATTCAAAACCCATCTCCAGCCAGACTCCCACATCTTTGATTTCTTGACAACTGCAGCCCCAAGGAAATGCAGTCTGCATGCCATATGCTAGTAAGAAGGCGAACACATCCACAAGCTGAGAAGTCTCTAGAAAGCCCAGTCCCAAGCACCCCAGCAGGAGAAGCTTGCCATACTGCCCCTCTAGCCAAGCACCACTGTCCCTTAGCCACTAACCTTATAGAATTTCCTGAGGTTCTCTTTCTGAGTCTGGTTAATGACGGTGAGTACACGGGCGATGGATTTGCGAACAACACGGCTACGAAACAGAGACATCGATCAAGATGGGGAAGACACACAGCACTCGCTAAGATATCTATTTCCGGGCCTAACCCAGATGTCATAGGGCAGGGGCATGCCCCATCAGCTCACCCACATTCACCCAGGATGTACCTAACCCACCCCAGGAGGAAGGTGTTCTGGAGGGAAGAGAGACAACAGATGAGTATCCCAGGAGTGGGGACATGGAACAGCTGGCGAAGTATTCACTGAGGAGGCTTAATGAGGAGAGGTGAAGGGCAGATCAGGAAGGATCTCCCATCCCATATATCCTGAGGGCTATGAAGACGACGTAACCAATGCCAATCTGAATGAGCTGACTGGAGGGAATCATGCCGCAAGCTGGGCAACCAAGTTAAGCTTAGGGAGTCACAGGAGGGGCCACTGGGGAGGGGACAAGGCTGAATACAGGAATAGGCTGGGGATAAGTGAATTTGCAGTCATGTTGAATATGAGGGCTGCTTAATAAATGACTGGTAAACACAGTCTTGCGGATTCAGCAGGCACCACCACAGGAGTATTATTGGGTGTCCATTTTATAAAAGAGGAAAGAAAAACCTGGGTGGTGAGCCAATCTACCCACCAAGTAGGATGTGGCAGAAGCAGAATTTATGCCCAGGTTGACTAACTCCAAATCCATGCTCCTTTCACAAATCTTGACTCTTGCTCCACGTACATCAGCAAGTTACACTGCAACTCAAGTAAGAGGTGCAAGGGATCCCTCAACCAAGTAAGGGAGGATGCGGAAAAAAATCCAAGTGCTGGTGGGAGGTAGGAGAAAGGGATCAATGAGACGTTCGAAGGTACCATTAAAATGAGTCTTCAGGGACACCTAGTTCTTTCTCCAGCCAGAGAAGTCGAAGGAGATTACTCCAGGCAAAAGGACCACAGGTCAAAGGCAGGTAAAGGCAGCAGGTCACCACGCACCTGGGCGTGAGCAAGGGGAGCCTAGAGAGGCTGGCTAGGAAGGGCACGACATTCCGACCCACGGATGCATGGAATGGGCACTTAAACGGACACCTCCTTAAGCCAACTTCGAAAATCCACAAATGTTCCCGACGCATATGTACCCCCCACGCCCAGAGGGCCGTAGTCTGGCCTCCCGTCACTTACATCTTGGAGAGTTTGGAAGCCGCGCCGCCTGTTACTTTAGCCACGCGTAGCTGGGACAGCTCCACTTTCAGGTCCTCTAGCTGTTTCAGCAGCTCCTCCTTCTTCTTGCCGCGAAGGTCTCGAGCCTTAATCTTGGCCTGAGCGAAAGAAAGGGTCTGGGTCAAACACCCAGCGGGGCCGTCTCCCCCTCGGCCACTTACTGAGGCTTCCACCGGCCATCGTCCCCTCCACCTGCGTCGTAATCAGCCCCTGGAGGGCGCGCGTCTCGCCCTGGGCCAGGAGCGCGCTGGAGGCCCAGCACTACCGTGCCTTGGGCAGGGCAACCCAGACCGCAGCAGGCGCGCCCTCGCCCAGGCCTGCTGCGAGACTGGGCCACTACCCCCATTCCGCAGAGGAAAAGACGGAGGCCCCGGCAGAGCGCGCGCACCTCTCCTGGTCTAGGCCTGCGTGGGGAGAAAGCGAGAGGCCGGCTGGGGCGGCGTTAGGCCATTACGCAGGGCCTCCCACAGGCCGGGTTGGTAGATGGGCTCTCAGGATTCGCCACGCGCCCCCCACCCCAGCCCCTGAGCCCCACAGCGCGCGGATGGTACCCGATTGTGCTACACTCACCATAACTGTAGAGTCGGACTCCGCCGCCTTCTCAGAGGAAAAGAGGAAAGGGCGGGGCTGACCTCCACAACTACAGCCGGGTGGCGGCGGGCGTGGTCAATAACGCTAGCGGGGCAGCCCTGGCTCCGCCCCTTCCGCCCCACGCCCGCGCGAGGAACGCTCTGGTCCAGCCCTCCGAGCCCCGCCCCGAGGAGCCGGAGACCCGCCCAGCAGTGCCCGCGTCTTCTTCCCGCGCTCTGGAGAATACTTGGGTTCGGTGTATTGCCCAGGGCAGCGCTGTGGGGAAGTCGAGGCCTGGGGTGGCGGCAATTTACTGGACTAGTAAGGACTCGGATTCATCCATTCATTTATTCGTTCATTCATTCATTCGGTAAACCTTTGCAGGTCGCCCAGTCTGCTACTCCAAGCTGGGCGCCGGTGTTCCGGGGGTACAGAGGATGAAGGTTGAGGGTTTTCAAAGATGAATTAACATGGCCTCTGCCTTGGAGGAATTTAAAGTCCAAGGTGGGCGGGGAAGGGCGGGGTCAGACAACTATAATCCAACTGCAAAAATATTCTAGTGGAGACAGCATGCGTTAGCGGAAACAAACATTCATGGCCTTTTCTTAGTGAACCTTAAAGGGCGGATTTCACAAGGGAAAGTGCTCAGGCTTTCTGACTGGACGGTTGCATTGTTGCCCCAACCAGCAAGCATGAATCTGTGCTCTAGTGTCACTCCATTGCCCTTAACAAAGGCACACCCACACGTTAGAGCTCTAGTTAAAGCCAGGTTGGCCCCTTGCTGCTGTCACGTGTCTCCTCCAGGTAGCCTTCTTCCATCCCCTTATGGGTTTCCGTTAATGGATTGTAGCCTTGGACTAAATTGGGACACAGACCGCCCTTGTGTGCAGAGCTTTCTGGGCAATCCTCTCTTTAGCCCCAAACATACTGAATTAAAATAAATTTATGTATCTATCTCCACAGCCAGCCTGGAAGTTCCCCAGGGGTCAGAACCATGGCTGACACCTGGTTTGGTTTTTCTCATCTCCAGGCCCAGCACATGGATGCTTGTTGGATGAACTGAATTAATGAGCTTTGCCCAAGATCATGGAGAGGCATGCTTCCAGGAAGTGGAGGGAGGTGGAGAAGAGAGAGCAGAGGACATTCTTGGTTGGCATGGATTAGTCTTAAATGGAAGTTGAATGGTGCACAGGGACTTGACTATATTTTCCAAATGCTTATAGTTCTATTAAAGGTAATGATTGTGTACATTTTTTCTGAACTTGAAGTTACCTATGACTACCCTGTTTCTCTTACATGCCACATCCAACCCACTCCCAGATTCTGCAGCCTCTTTCTTCAAAATACCCAACCTCTTCCCACCACTGGTACTGGCACCTGCCTGTCACCTGGGCCATTGATGTCACTTCTTAAATCACCTACTTTGGCTCAGGCTCCCATGTGTTCTCAATACACATTTGAGGGACCCTTTTCAAGTCAGATCATGTCACTGCTCTGCCCAGAATTTCCAGGGCTGTCCTGAGTTAAAGACCACATCCTTTCCTCAGCCTACAAAGCTCTACAACACCCGCCCCTCCCCCCCACCTCCCTTCCATCTCGTTTCTTCTCACTCTTCTGCTCCAGTATGGCCTTGCTGTTTCTGGAATACAGCAAGCCTGCCCTGTCTTTGAGCCTTTGCTCGGCTCCCTCCTTCACTTCCTGCAGGTCCTTGATCAGCGTCACCTCCTGGGGACACTTCTCTTGACCACTTTATCTGAGTTACTCTCAGAAACTGCATGTTGTTTTTTTCATCTCCTCAGAACACAGTCATCCCTGACATAGTGCGAATTTTTAATTCTGCCCCCTTGACTGGAATGGAGATCCACAGTCATAAACAGTGACATTATTTCATTCACCAGTTTATTTGGGGGCTATTTCCTTACTTGTAAAATGGGAATTTTGGTTTAAAATTCCTTCTGATCAGGATGTTCTGGGGATATGAATTTCTGTTGTCTTGTGGCCTCCCTAGGTCACACAGATTTCTTCCAAGGTATGGAGCTGATAGGCAGGTCTTCCAGGACCCCTGATACTTTTTTTTTTTTTTTTTTGGGTTACGCGGGCCTCTCACTGTTGTGGCCTCTCCTGTTGCGGAGCGCAGGCTCAGGATGCGCAGACCCAGCGGCCATGGCCCATGGGCCCAGCCGCTCCGCGGCACGTGGGATCCTCCCATACCGGGGCACGAACCCGCGTCCCCTGCATCGGCAGGTGGACTCCCAACCACTGCGCCACCAGGGAAGCCCCAAAA